AATCTCGCAAAGTGCCACGCCTGCCATGGTTTTCACAAAACTAGCTCGGAAAATAGCATTTTTTCCAGGCCTCGTTATAAGTCTTAAAAATGCGCTCCCGCTGTGGCGAAACGCATATTTTCACAAAAAAACACGGACAGAAAACGACACGTGCGGTTGTTGCTGTTGCTGCTGCTGTTGCTGCTGCTGTTGCTGTTGTTGTTGTTGTTGCTGTTGTTGTTGTTGTCGTTGTTGTTGCTGTTGTTGGTGATGATGATGCATGATGCCTTACTCTTAGGACTCCTCTTTTACGAGCACCGCCAGTGTTTGTATTGTTGATGCTACTGCTTTTTCTGGTGCATGTCTAATTATGATTTTCGTCACCACCCTGATAGACAGCGACGCTTGGTTTGTAAGGTTAATGTTACCGAAGAAGAAGGCAAGTACGGTGATGTTGGTGATGGTGGCGATGGTTGCTACGACTGATTGTACGGTTATTCTTTCTCACTGCTATCATTGCCCATGACCAGTCTTGGCGTCTTGATTTGCCAGTGTCCCGGTACGTCCTCCACCCTATTAGGCAGTTCGGGTGTCCTCTTGTTCTGGTGCTTCTGTCGCAGTGTCCCTTCATGCCGATATCTCGGTGACCCGTTTAAGGTTTAAGGGTTTAAGGGTTTAGGTGATTAGGGGGTTAGGTGCTCCGTTGTCTCTGAATTACCGTGTCCTGGGTGTCCGATTGTCCTGTGTCTCGGTTTTACGGTGTCTTTAGGCTCTTGTGACTATGGTGTCCCAGTGTACTGGTCTGCTTGTGGTGAGGTTGTAGTTAGGATAACTATAAAAATAACGCATTTTAAGGGTCTTCTAACCGATTCTAACCCCACTTATAACTACCCATGAACCTTCAAGTTCTCGTTTATCAGCATGCTAGCGTGCGTAGTTCTCTTGGTGCAGCTCTAGAAGCAGCACCGGCAAGACACTCTCCATGCGAAAACATTGCTGACGGATGATCCATGAACCGGGACTTCCGGCAGAACAAGGTCGCTTGGCGTCTAATGCTCCAGCGTCCAGCTTTGCATTGCCTCCTTGACAGCGGCGTGGGCCTGCGTAAATCCACTGCAAGAAGCGAGGCCAACCCACAGCTTCGTCGAGAAACAGGCGCCCTGTTTCATACAGCACCCCCCGACCGTATCGGGCAGACATCTCCAGGGATGTACACAAGCCTAAGCATGCTGACGAAGTCCATCGAAAATCCCGTGGGTTAGGTAGCTCCACCAAAATTGAGAGCATGAGTCCTGACAGATTGACACCAGGCGCAAAAGAGCATCCCTGTGCCTCGTGGATTTACAGTTTACATCTTTCGAGTTCGGTTTCGACGTGCCGCCAGTCTTCCGCTTCGTATGCATGCCTCCCCGACAGTTTTCATGAAGAGAAAGGCCCTGAAAAGCTCGCCGTGCAGACGGAAGAACTTTGATTGCCCCATGCTATAAAACCGGGGGGTGCCTCGCTGGGAGATGCCCGGGGATGCGTCCCTAAAGCCTAAACCCTAAGCCCTAAACCCTAAAACCTTGGACCCTAAACCCTAAACCTCTAAACCCTGAAAGTGCGGAGCTGGGTGCCTCCGCAGGCTTGGAAATCTTTGGCTAGCAAGGGTGGAGGCAAACGTGATGGCAAGTCCTACACCAAGATGGACGGTTCAGGGTTTAAGGTTTAGGGTTCCTTTAAAGGGATCTATAGGGATCCTAGGCTTCCTTTAAAGGGTGCTATGGTTTAGGGTACAGGATTTAGGGTTTCGGGTTCAGGGTTTAGGGTGAAGGGTTCAGGGTTTAGGGTTTAGGGTTTAAGATTTAGGGTTTCGGGTTCAGGGCTTAGGGTGAAGGGTTCCGGGTTCAGGGTGAAGGGTTCAGGGTTTAGGGTTTAAATTACGTTTTCCGGTTCAGGGTTTAGGGTTTAGGGTTTGGGACCTTCAGTACTTGGAGGTTCATGGGTCGTTGTACGTGGGGTTAGAAGTAGGGTAGTTGCATTCATAACCCATATGCGGGGACTCATCACCCAAGTTACAGCTCTCTGCTTGCACCTTCGTGGGTTTGGTGTCAGAGATGGCAGGGTCGCATCAGCCCGATAAGCTTAAATCCTAGGTCTCCCAAGTAATACCTCTCGATGATGCGAGCCGATACTGCTGCATCTCAGCATTGTCCTCCTTGACCCTAAGCCCTAAACCTTAAGCCCGAGCCCTACAAGCCCAAAAACTATACCCTGCATTGTTCTCAAGAATGCTACTCCTATTTTTTGCGATCTAGTCCCCTCTGGCCGCATTGCAGGAGTGCCTCGTGAAGGCATTGGAGATCGACGGCACCTCCGCATCGACTTGGTACAAGCTGGCGACGGAGAAGGGCGGCGTGGTCAATGGAAAGGCTTACGACAAAAAGCAATGCTACCAGAAAGCCGTGGAGAACGACGGGAAATATGCCATGGCCTGGTTCAAGCTGGGCAAGGAGGGGGGCGGCTCCATCAATGGCAAGGCCTTTAACAAGCAGGAATGCTACCAAAGGTCTGTGGAGGAGGATGAGGACTATGCTTTGGCGTGGTACAATCTAGGAGTTGCAGACGGTGGAAAGGTGAACGGCACGCGCTACAGCAAGAAGCAGTGCTACCAGAAAGCATTGGAGAAAGACCAGACGTATGCTTCATCGTGGTACAATCTCGCGTTTGAGGGCGGCGGCACCGTGAATGGCACGGACTACAACAAGAAGCAGTGCTACCAGAAAGCTTTAGAGGACGATGAGACCTTTTCCGCAGCCTGGAACA